GACTGGAGGAGCAGACAGTGAGGTGGATTGAAAATGGGCTCAACAGCCGAGCTGAGGGGATTGTTACCATTGGTACAAAGTCCAGTTGGCAGCCAGTAACTAGACCTGAGCCTCAGAGGTCAATATTCGGTCCAGTATTTTTCAATATCTTCTTTAATGATCTGGATGCTTGGACAGAGAGCACCCTCCACAGGTTTGTAGATAATACAAAGTTAGGAGGAGTGGCTGGTACAGCAGGTGGTTGTGCAGATGTTCAGAGGGACCTCGACAGGCTGGAGAAATGGGGTGACAGGAACCTCATGAAGTTCAGCAAGGGGAAATGAAGAGTCCTGCACCTGATGAGGAACAAGCCCATGCACCAGTACATGCTGGGGGCTGCCCAGCTGGAAAGCAGCTTTTCAGAAAAGAATCTGGGGGTCCTGGTGAATACAAAGTTGAACGAGCCGGCAGTGTACATTTGTGGCAAAGGCCAACAGCCTGGTGGGCTGCATTAGGAGGAATGTTGCCAGTGGTTTGAGGGAAGTGATCCTTCCCCACTGCTCAGCGCTGGTAAGGCCACACATGGAGTATTGTGTCCCATTTCTGGGCTCCCCTGTACAAGAGAGAGATATTTAAGGAGTTGGAGCATCTTCCATACGAGGAGTGGCTGAGGGAGCTGGGACTGTTGAGCCTAGAGAAGAAAAGGCTTGGAGGGATCTCGTCGGTGGGTATAAATACCTGATGGGAGGGTGCAAAGAGGATGGAGACAGGCTCTTTTCAGTGGTGCCCAGCGACAGGACAAGGGGCAATGGGTTGCCTGGAGAGGTTGGGGATTCTCCTTCTCTGGAGATATTCAAGACGCGCCTGGACAAGGTCCTGTGCAGCCTGCTGTAGGTGACCCTGCTTCGGCAGGGGGCTTGGACTAGATGACCCACAGAGGTCCGTTCCAACCCCTACTGTTCTGTGATTCTGTGATCTACGGTATGGAATATTTCCATTGGCCAGCTTGGCTGTTGCTTTCAGTTTAGGAATGGGGATTGGCCAGGGGGCAGGAGGCTCTTCTGCTCTTCCCCTTTTCCAGGAGTTTGAATCCTCTCTTGGCTGGGAGTTCCAACTTTTCCGGTGGTTCGATCTTTTTTGGTAGTTTGGCAAAATTTGCAAAATCTGCGAGTTCTGGGTTCTGTGATTGCTGCTTGGGGACTGGCTGAGAATCAGTCATCGGGTGGTGAGAAAAACTGTATTGCATATAGTTTGTTTTGCATATTCGTTATCATTATTATTAATAATATTAGTATTTCCTTTGTTGTCCTGTTAAACTGTCTTTATCTCAACCCATGAGTTTCCCCTTTTGTCCATTTATCCTCCCCATCCCGCTGGGAGTGAGCGAGTGGCTGTCAGCTCCTAATTGCCAGGTGCCAGGTTAAACCACGACAGATGGATAAACTATAAAGTGTTAACAAAATAACTCTTGGTACTCAACACAGGATCAGCACCCTTGGCATTCCACCTCTCTACCTTGCTGCTGAAGTCAGTCCTTAAGAGATACACCAATTAATAAGAAATTGTGTTTCTCTGGTAGTCATGGTTTTATGCAATGAAAAAAGTCTTACTTTCTTCCTGGGGGCACTGGATCTAAATGGCTCTGACATCTTTCTAGTGCAATAGAAAGTGCTTTCCTCATTATGAAGTTAGAGATCAAGGAGCACTTTTATTTATGAATGATTTAAGGAATTTTTTTTGTCCAGATGTTTTGTGTGAAGACATTTGATTTGGCACTTATGGCAAATCCTGCTTCTAAAAGAAAGGAGATGCAAAGCTCCTCCTGGATGGGAACAGCCCTGGGTTTTGATTCAGTGAAGGATGTGATTGTTTAAAGAGATGCAGCATTCCCAGGATGTTTCTGAAGACCACAATAAAGATTGTGTCCAGTGGCCTAAGTATCTTTTTCATTTGCTTTCAATAGTTGTGTCTCCAAGTTGCGTTTACTTTCCTGCCAGTTCTGATCAAAGCATTTTCATGATAAACTAATTTCTTTTCATTTTGGTCTGTCTGCCAATCCAAATAACAAAAAGTATTGCTGATAGCCATATGATTTTTTTTAAAATTTTTTTTCTTTCTTTTTGTCTCTTCAGCAGACCATCTGTGGAAAAGAAAAAAGAAGACAATATGAAGTACATATTCTTAATGTTTTTCATGAATTTATTATCACAGTGTGATGGGAAATCTTTGAGAAGAGATGACAGTTACCCAAAAACATTTGAAGACATTAAAACTGAGATAGCTGGCTATACTGATATTGCTAAAGCTATTATTGATCTTGCTGTTTATGGAAAAGCTCAAAACAGATCCTATGAGAGATTAGCAGTTTTTGCCGATACCGTAGGACCTAGAATCAGTGGTTCAAAAAATCTGGATGCAGCCATCAAGTATATGTTCAGTGCCCTGCAGGAAGACGGACTGGAAAATGTGCATCTGGAGCCTGTGAAGGTACCACACTGGGAAAGAGGAGAAGAGTTCGCAATGATGCTGGAACCAAGGAATCACAGCATGGCTATTTTGGGACTTGGGAGCAGTGTTGCAACTCCTCCAGAAGGTAACTCTCCCTTTTGGAATTAAGTATCACTTACTTTTTAGTGCCAAACTGTATTACACCCCTACATCTTCTCTCAATGGATGAACAGATGTTTTCTTCCTGCTATAATAGTTCTGCAAGACAAGATGCTATTTTTGGGGGACTTTTCTGTGTGGCAATGGATGGTGTCTACCTTGACATTAATAAGGCTTTTGACACTGTCTCCCATAAGATCTTGGGGAAGCTGATGAAATATGGACTGGAGGAGCAGACAGTGAGGTGGATTGAAAATGGGCTCAACAGCCGAGCTGAGGGGATTGTTACCATTGGTACAAAGTCCAGTTGGCAGCCAGTAACTAGACCTGAGCCTCAGAGGTCAATATTCGGTCCAGTATTTTTCAATATCTTCTTTAATGATCTGGATGCTTGGACAGAGAGCACCCTCCACAGGTTTGTAGATAATACAAAGTTAGGAGGAGTGGCTGGTACAGCAGGTGGTTGTGCAGATGTTCAGAGGGACCTCGACAGGCTGGAGAAATGGGGTGACAGGAACCTCATGAAGTTCAGCAAGGGGAAATGAAGAGTCCTGCACCTGATGAGGAACAAGCCCATGCACCAGTACATGCTGGGGGCTGCCCAGCTGGAAAGCAGCTTTTCAGAAAAGAATCTGGGGGTCCTGGTGAATACAAAGTTGAACGAGCCGGCAGTGTACATTTGTGGCAAAGGCCAACAGCCTGGTGGGCTGCATTAGGAGGAATGTTGCCAGTGGTTTGAGGGAAGTGATCCTTCCCCACTGCTCAGCGCTGGTAAGGCCACACATGGAGTATTGTGTCCCATTTCTGGGCTCCCCTGTACAAGAGAGAGATATTTAAGGAGTTGGAGCATCTTCCATACGAGGAGTGGCTGAGGGAGCTGGGACTGTTGAGCCTAGAGAAGAAAAGGCTTGGAGGGATCTCGTCGGTGGGTATAAATACCTGATGGGAGGGTGCAAAGAGGATGGAGACAGGCTCTTTTCAGTGGTGCCCAGCGACAGGACAAGGGGCAATGGACACAAACTGAAGCAGAGGAAGTTCCAGCTGAACATGAGGAAGAACTTCTTCAAAATGAGGGTGATGGAAACAGGTTGCCCAGAGAGGTTGTGGATTCTCCTTCTCTGGAGATATTCAAGACGCGCCTGGACAAGGTCCTGTGCAGCCTGCTGTAGGTGACCCTGCTTCGGCAGGGGGCTTGGACTAGATGACCCACAGAGGTCCGTTCCAACCCCTACTGTTCTGTGATTCTGTGATCTACGGTATGGAATATTTCCATTGGCCAGCTTGGCTGTTGCTTTCAGTTTAGGAATGGGGATTGGCCAGGGGGCAGGAGGCTCTTCTGCTCTTCCCCTTTTCCAGGAGTTTGAATCCTCTCTTGGCTGGGAGTTCCAACTTTTCCGGTGGTTCGATCTTTTTTGGTAGTTTGGCAAAATTTGCAAAATCTGCGAGTTCTGGGTTCTGTGATTGCTGCTTGGGGACTGGCTGAGAATCAGTCATCGGGTGGTGAGAAAAACTGTATTGCATATAGTTTGTTTTGCATATTCGTTATCATTATTATTAATAATATTAGTATTTCCTTTGTTGTCCTGTTAAACTGTCTTTATCTCAACCCATGAGTTTCCCCTTTTGTCCATTTATCCTCCCCATCCCGCTGGGAGTGAGCGAGTGGCTGTCAGCTCCTAATTGCCAGGTGCCAGGTTAAACCACGACAGATGGATAAACTATAAAGTGTTAACAAAATAACTCTTGGTACTCAACACAGGATCAGCACCCTTGGCATTCCACCTCTCTACCTTGCTGCTGAAGTCAGTCCTTAAGAGATACACCAATTAATAAGAAATTGTGTTTCTCTGGTAGTCATGGTTTTATGCAATGAAAAAAGTCTTACTTTCTTCCTGGGGGCACTGGATCTAAATGGCTCTGACATCTTTCTAGTGCAATAGAAAGTGCTTTCCTCATTATGAAGTTAGAGATCAAGGAGCACTTTTATTTATGAATGATTTAAGGAATTTTTTTTGTCCAGATGTTTTGTGTGAAGACATTTGATTTGGCACTTATGGCAAATCCTGCTTCTAAAAGAAAGGAGATGCAAAGCTCCTCCTGGATGGGAACAGCCCTGGGTTTTGATTCAGTGAAGGATGTGATTGTTTAAAGAGATGCAGCATTCCCAGGATGTTTCTGAAGACCACAATAAAGATTGTGTCCAGTGGCCTAAGTATCTTTTTCATTTGCTTTCAATAGTTGTGTCTCCAAGTTGCGTTTACTTTCCTGCCAGTTCTGATCAAAGCATTTTCATGATAAACTAATTTCTTTTCATTTTGGTCTGTCTGCCAATCCAAATAACAAAAAGTATTGCTGATAGCCATATGATTTTTTTTAAAATTTTTTTTCTTTCTTTTTGTCTCTTCAGCAGACCATCTGTGGAAAAGAAAAAAGAAGACAATATGAAGTACATATTCTTAATGTTTTTCATGAATTTATTATCACAGTGTGATGGGAAATCTTTGAGAAGAGATGACAGTTACCCAAAAACATTTGAAGACATTAAAACTGAGATAGCTGGCTATACTGATATTGCTAAAGCTATTATTGATCTTGCTGTTTATGGAAAAGCTCAAAACAGATCCTATGAGAGATTAGCAGTTTTTGCCGATACCGTAGGACCTAGAATCAGTGGTTCAAAAAATCTGGATGCAGCCATCAAGTATATGTTCAGTGCCCTGCAGGAAGACGGACTGGAAAATGTGCATCTGGAGCCTGTGAAGGTACCACACTGGGAAAGAGGAGAAGAGTTCGCAATGATGCTGGAACCAAGGAATCACAGCATGGCTATTTTGGGACTTGGGAGCAGTGTTGCAACTCCTCCAGAAGGTAACTCTCCCTTTTGGAATTAAGTATCACTTACTTTTTAGTGCCAAACTGTATTACACCCCTACATCTTCTCTCAATGGATGAACAGATGTTTTCTTCCTGCTATAATAGTTCTGCAAGACAAGATGCTATTTTTGGGGGACTTTTCTGTGTGGCGTGGTTATGAATGATGCAGTTCGCTTTAATTCAGTTTAGATGAGCCAGCCTGTAAAATTACAGTTGATTCCGGAACTCTCCATTAAATCTATACCCTTTTGTTTAACACTGCTGAGCCTCATTTGCAAAGATTCTGCTCTTCCACTGAGGCTGGTGGTCAGCTTGTTCTTGTGATCTGTGGTTTTCCAGCCCTTCTTTCGTGTTTTGGCCAGAGAAGTTCTCCATGAGGTGTTGAGTTGACATGCGATTTCTGCTCTTGTTGCTGTGCCCTGTCCTGCCAAGCTCAGCACTTCACTCTGGCAAAAACAAGACACCAGGAAGAAGAGGAGAATCTCATGCTGAGCTTGGAAAGTGCCAGCCCCTTGCTACGTGTGGCAATTGGTATCTCTTTGTCCATTCCTTCTGCCCACCTCCTCCCTCTTCTGTCCACTCGCTGTCTCATGCTCACCTTGGCTCACTGGTTCTGAACTGTGTGTTGACATGTAGTGGATCATGTGTGATACGTTACTTTGGGAACAAGAAGGATTGTTAGCTGGGCTCAGCAAATTTCAGGTGTTTTGAGCCCCAAAATATTAGCTTGCTTGCAAATGGAATGATTTATAAGATTCTCTTTTTGTACATATTGATGTGAGACTTCCTCAGGGTTGCTATTTTAAGGCTGGATGACAACCTTCTTCTGTGACTGCTTTCCATAAATAACAATAGACTTATTCCTAGACTGCTTCAAAAGCATTCTTATTCGTTTATGAGAAAATAAATTTAGTTCAGGAAATAAAAAGTGACATGATACTCGTAATTTTGGGGGGGAATTGTAAATTTTTGTGATAGTGAACTTTCTGTTTGAAGTAAAACAAATAACGTATGAAAGCTATTTTGTTTAGAAAAAAATATATAGTCCTTCAAAACACAACAAAGTAAAACTGGGGAATTTAAGATATGTTTGGAATAAATCTCACTTGGTTTGGGAAGCTGCTACTGTAAATTTTATCTGAGATATTTCTGTCATATTGAGGTAAAGACATGCCTAAAATGCAAAACAACTAAAACCATTAATAATACCTGTTTATATCATGATATGTCTAAGGCTTAGTGCTTTGATAGGAGAGTATTTACAGCAGAGGTTAAACCTGCAAGTTACTTGCTATCCTTTCCAGTCCTATTCCAAGCTTCCTAAAAAGGAAGCTAAAATTGAAATGGCGTTTTTGGTGTTGAGCAAATGTTACTGAACCTGCAATTTAATCTTGATGAACATCTTCACACCCCGAGAAGTCTGTTTTTTGCTTCCCTTCCTTAGCTGAGTAGTTATTTGCACTTGCCTGGTCTTACTCTTAGGTTTTCCTGTTTTCATTTAGAGAGATACTGAATTTACATGTTTAAAAATGCTCACAGAGGCTAATTGTGTCCTTCTTTTTCATCTGTAAAGATCATCATATACTGATGACTGAATGGTCAGGCTAGTACCTGTCTTGGAAGATAAGATTGTATTATCCATCACTGGTTTATACAGAGTAACGTTCAAAAAACCCACATTATTCTTACTCACCTTTTTACTTTCCTCTGATATGTGCCATGTTTCTGAAGAGGTGCGGTGTGGGTGCTAGAAGACTGCATGGCAATGAGATCTCTCACAGAAGAGCGTGCAGTTTCTCACACTTGGTGGAATCATTTTGATTAAATTACCTTCTGACATAAAATCTATCCCACTCTTCGTGGCTGTTACAATTTCTGCTGGTCTCATCTTACTCTGTGCAAGCTGTGACAGGTTTTCGTGCTTGAGGAGGTTATGAGGGGTAGCTGGTCCCTCATGAGCTCTTGGCTCTTGTTCTTCCAATCGCTGGACCGCTGCCTGGCTGACGGAAACGCCTGGTGAGAGCCGCTCGTCACCAGCCGCTCTGGGCAGGAGAATTGCAAGGTGTGCTGCTCAGCAAAACGCCTGTCCTAAAACTCACACTCATCCCAAGCATGGAATAAAAAATGTGTGGTTAGACTATTAAAACCACTGCCTCATCACGTCTGAGGAATTCATTCCCAGATCTGCTCCCTCTGCTCTAACCAGTGATTGTCACCATGCCCTGTTCCTGAGAAAAAGGGTTAGGCAGCTGCCCTAAATCACATCGGAAATATTTGAGCAATTTCCCTCAGTGAGGGAATATGGGCAGTTCTGGTTTGTCTTGCTTTAGCCAGCAAGCTGTGGGAATGTGAGTCATTCTGTAATCAAAATAATTCAACTCAATATGAGATGCTTGATGCTGATCCTCCTGGCATTGCTGTTGCCACAGGGGATCAAGCCGGGGAGGTCTGCTGCTGCCGTGCCGAGCTTTGCCAGAGGGACACGTTAAAGGCTGAGGACTGACTTTCCAGTGTCAGCTCCATGAGTCTGGCCATTGGTGCCTGGGTTCTGCCCAGAGGCAGAGACAGCCTTCAGAGCTGCCTCTAAAGTGGACTGTGCAGGTGATCCCTGAAGGTGTTTGGTATTAGCTTCATAGTTATAATGTGCTTGAAATCTGTGTTGCTGTCAGGATACGTTTTGGACCCTTCAGTTTACAAACCACTGTCTCTGTAGAGCCCCAGCAGGTCCCTTCCTTGGCACTACTGATGCCTACTTAGAGCCAGAGGACAGCACTGGCTGGACTTTTTGTCTTTTAAGGTCTGGGGATGGGATTAAGACAAGAGGGGGTGAGGTGACTCCCACATCCCAGCAGGATGTACGGGAGACCATTTCTTGCTTTCTCATCCTCTGATATGTCCTGTATTCGTCCCTTCCCATTATGTGCCCTCAGGCTTGAGACCTGATGAGCTAAGAAGATAGGAAGCATTGGCAGAAACTTAAAACATTGCTTCTCTCTGGATGTGCTTCATGCTTCATGCTGGACTTGGTGGCCCCTGGTGCCTCAGAGCTTCTCCTGGAGCTCAGCTCCTTGAGCTAGTGCTCTGAAGGGCTCTTTATTAGCATGGCAATAGCCTAACAGCAGTTAGAAACCTGGCTTTGGATGCTGGAAATTCAGGGCTTATTTTCCCTTCTGTCCATGGAAATTCAAACCAGTGTTTCCTAAGAGTGACCCAACAGCCAGAGCACATGCTGAGGCTGCTCACTTTCCATTTCGGCATATGCCATGCAAGTGTGTGGAAAAAAATCCGAGATCCTTCAGGACAGGAACAAGAAGCCCTAATTAGTAGCAGTATTTTAGCAGTGGAGCCCAAGCCATCATTGACTCTGGGATACAAGGAGTGTCTCTTCCTACAGGTCTTCTATCTAACCTGTGCTTATGGGGTTGAAAACTTTGTGGGATGGGCATAGAGCTTTGCCCGTTTATTGGATTTGCTGGGATTTGCCCACTTTGGCTTAGATACGAGTTTGGCATAGAGCTGGTTGGCTCACTTGAGGTTAGAACAGTTCTGATAATGTACAGGAGGCTTTCTGGTACCTTGTGATCTTGTGGATAAAGTCTACGTTTTCCAATTTTCTTCCTCAGGACTGGGCAACATGCCAGGATGTCATGTTTCCAGATTCAGTCTGATTTACACAGCAAAAAGGGGAAGCACAAAAAAGGTTGGATATTTTATTGAAGAGGAAAAAAAAACATTTTCCCTGTCAGTGTATCCCAAGATTTGAAGGTGTTAGGTTAAAGAGGAAGTTTTCACTTCCTTTGATCTCCTTTAGAAGGAGGGAGTAACTTTCATGCCTGTCTTAGCGACAGGCAGAGGAGAAGCAAGAAAGAGTGACCTGGATTTGAGAAGTCAGTAGAGACTGAAAATGGTCACCACTGCGAAGAAATGGATTCCTAGGTAACAAACAGGATTGAATGTTAGAAAGTGCTCAGTTTAGGGAGCTGACAAAGTGGAGGTTTACCTTATTTAGTTAAAGTCCTTGTCTCATGTCCAGTCTTTCAACATTGGGAAAACACACAGATATATATAGAGAGTCTGTGTTGATTTCTGTAGTACTGATTATATCCCCCAAATTCTGAGGAAAATAGACGTAATTGTTGCTTTGAGAATCCCATAATTGAAGGAAAGTAGTAGTTCAGCAGATGTTTGACCATAAAGTATCAGAGAATGCATATTTTTTGCATGTGTTTTAAAATACACTTTTTTTTTCCTGAGGAGTGACCCTGCCCTTTCATTTGTTTGTTGCAGCAAAACTGAAATAATATAAATATGAAGATGATATATTGGCAGAATTTTTTCTAGTTTTTGTGTTGAAGTCGTAGGCTTTTTTGTTTATCAACAACATTTCGTCCAGTCTTGCTCTTATAGAAGGTGGTGGGAGTTTTGCCACTTAGATAATACGAAAACGATTCCAGCCTGTTATTTACAGAATGAGGATAATTTGTGTCTCAGAGCAGTTGAAGACATGTGCTGTGCTGTAGGCTCGCAGTCTTTTTAAGCCAGGGATGCTGCTGAAAGAAGTGGTCTGGCCCCAGTCCCGACTGATGTATTTTTCCCCAGTGTTGACCCTCCTTTTTTGTTTCTCAGTGGTGAAGTGGATTAGGGCATTCATCTAGATTAACAAAATGCCAACAAAAAAGTTAAATTTAATGTGTGTCAGAGGAACTACCCTTGAGTTGGCAGCATTTTGGATGACCACTGATGTACTGGGAGTGAAGTAGATCATTCTGGAGGGAGTTGGGTACCCGCTTCGATGAGGGGGTCAGTGCTGAAAACAGGCATTGGAGAGAGTTGTAGGCATGAGAGCACAGTGAACGGCAAAGCACTTCTGTGTTCACTGGATCCCTCTTTTTCTATGTGTGAGGAGCTATTGATTCACATCTTGAGACCATGAGCCTCAGTACTGGGTGCCTGGATTGTTTATTATTACTTAGAGCAGCGCTTCTTGCGGTATG